GGTAAAAAAAACCCATAGCTGAAAATTTAGGATCTCACTTGACTGGCATTCTGAACTTGATAGAGGTAAAAAAAAAATATGTCAGAGGAAAATACAAAGGAGACCGTACCAGAAACACAGGATCTTATGCACTTAGATGAAAGAAGTTTGATATGCGGTATCTTAGGAGATATGAACATTGTTATGCAGGTAATGAAAGAAGTGCTGAAAGAGATTCGTGATCTAGGAAGGGAGGCAGACCAGGAGAAAAAGAAAGAAGAGTCCCGCCAGCACCCACAAGAGGTAACTACGCCAGACTGTTTGATATGCCGTATCCTAAATAAACAGAAAGAAGTGCTGACAGAAATTAGTAATTTAGCAAGGGAGACAGACCAGTTAGTAAAAGAAGTACAAAAAGCACGGTGTAGTACCTAAACGGTTGCTATCAGAAAAAATTGCGCGTTCGTTACTGCTATCTGAAAATTGAGCGGTTGCTAGTGGAAAAAATGGACGAAATTGTAAGTATTTTCTTCGCTGGCTCAACAAAATGGTCAATAATTCAATTATTAAAGTTTAGCTGCTTGGTATTTCACCCTTACGGAACGTTACATACATTTTAAAACTAACATGTATATTTAGAATTTTAATGAATTGAAGGATTGGCGATATATAAGACGAAAACTGTCGAAAGCGTTGGACACATTTACATGCACGTAAGAAATATATTAAAATTGCGTCAAAACTTTTAGATATTTGATAAAAATGAATCGACAGTTCGTTGTGTATTTGTAAATATTATTGGTTATTTTATATCATTGTCCGCTTTCATCGGTTTCTTACAAGCTAGAGCGTTTTTATTAAAAGAATCTTGTGTTACGGCTACTATTAGACAAAGGCACCGGTTACTATTTGAATAGGTTTAAGTTTTCAAATTTCATGAAATCACATCTTCAATTTACATATGTTATGCAATTATAGTTCCTTAAGAAAACTATATATATACCGTATATTCTTTCTTAATGATTGACTTGTCGTGTATGTTACTTTCGATCATATAATGACAAATTAATCGTATATTTATATGTACTATGTATGTTGTAGTGGAGTTTGTATGTACCGGTATACATATTTACCCTGTACACATAGGCTTTGGAACAGGGGGAGGCTAAGCCTTCCCATTTTTTTTTTTGCAAAGATAAAGACATAATATAGGCACTTAAAACTTGGGCTAATCTTTTTTTCATTGGACCAGGTGTAGCCCCCCCCCCCATCTTTCAATTTGCTTCCGACGTCTATGGCACATGCACACACACACAACTGTTTTGTCTTAGCCCTTAAATCATGTGACCATTCAATTTATTATATTCCAGCTATGTTATTATGCCAGATTGATTAAATTCACGATTTGGAATTTTAAAAAATCATAATTATCGATTCACAAACCACGAGAGATTATTTGTCTCAAATATTTACGCAACCCACCTCTACAAATCCAAACATAAACCTACAAATTAGCAATCTCTATATCTGATTTTTAAAAAAAAATATGAATTGAAAAATGAATAAAGCTCACATAAAGTTATAAAGTTTTGCTGTCCAACGTCGATAATTACTCAAGTACAAATTTTAATGAAAATATATTAAGTCAATTTACAAGAAATTCGACAGTAAAAAGAAGTGGAAAACATTAATGTAAAAACCACGCTTTCTTTCGTGGCGGGGGGGGGGGGGGGCTTGTCTTTTCTTACCTATATAATTTAAAGGGTGAAATTTAAAGAACTCTTAAAAGCCTAATGGGGCGAGGGGGTGGGGGTGGCGGTGATGTTTTAAATATTGCATGTTAGTCGTTCAACGAACCAATGCATCACCGTTCCTCGAAAAAGAAATATGGAATTAGAAATATTTGACAAAGCTTATACTTTAACTTTACTAGATATTATACATATCTAAGTATACATGTAGGCTACAAAAATCCCCAAAAACTCTAACTTAAGAAAGGTTTTAAAGAAATGATTGTGATTGATTGTAAATATATATTATATGCTATTTCAAATTGATTTACGGGTCATTTCGTGAAGCTTTCTTTTTATTTGTTTAGCAATTTTTTTCGAAGATCAGCTCTACTTTGCAAAAAGACGATAAATTAGAGTTACAGACGCGCCCCCTCCACATTTTGTTCCAAGCATAACCTTTACTTTCTAAAATGTTCATTGAAAGGCCTGTTGATTTTCTGCCAAGCATAACTTTTACTATATTGAAAATTTTCATTGAAGTCCTCCTTTTTTATTGCAGTATAGTCAAAGAAGGGTAGGCGGTAGCGCGTGAGAAAAAAATTATACTGAAAGAAGTTTGACAATTTTCCTTTTTTTCCATGTCAGCCTTTTTAAAACTAGATTTGAATTTTTCTGCACCCCCCCCCCTTTCAAAATCGAAGTTACACCCCTGAGTTAAGATGGTAAAAGTCAACTACATATATAGACATCTTATTTCACATGCAAATTGTGATATTTAAAATGTATATTTTAGACATTTGCTGCCATAAGTTTGTTTCATATCTCTGTTAATAAGGAAAATTTTCAAGTAGCAGCCGATGCGATGTTTTCAGTTATTAACCGGTGCAATATATGCTAAGACTCTGATAGCAACCGTAACTTTAAAAAATCGTGTTTTATCCAAAAATTTCTTTTAAAATACACTATTCAATTTTTTAAAATTATTTCCAGTATTATTATAGATTGACGCATCTTCAAATACCAAAATACCCACAATCTGAATAATAGATGATATAAAAAAGCATGAAAACTGTGTATTTATTGACTTAAGATTTGGTACAGGCTTCGGAAATTTTACTAATTCTAAATTATTAGAGGGCTATTCTGCAAATTACACATGACAACATCTATAGAAATACCTTACTTGTTCCGTGCACCCGGACTTTTCAGAGACTATCTTGATTTGGGGTCATAATTTCACTGTTTTACAACTTGTTCTAAGAGTTTTCAACATATTTATTTCTGCTAGCAGCCGCACAATTTTCGAATAGCAACATTGAACGCGGTTTTATTCCGATAGCAGCCGTTTAGGTACTACACCGTGAAAAGGAAAAAAAATAGAGGAGATTCCAGCCAGCACCCACAAGAGAAAAATTCTGTATGTATTTTGATTCTGAATAAAAATCTGTTATTGTCTGTCTTGTGTGTTATTGTTTTCAGAAAATCCAGTTTGAACCGGCTGGCTGAGCTTTGACTGTGAATGAAAACGTGACGTCATAATCACATTCTTGAGTCGCTGCCAAATCGTAGTAGCAGCGTTGTGAATCGTAGTTGCAGCGTATAGTAAAAAAAACTATATACAGTGTAAGCGCCGTATTTAGGGCTATGTACTGAATTGAACCCCCTAGCCCCTAGGGGCCCTGTACTGAGTTGACCCCCTATCCCCCAGATCCCCAACCTGCACTCCCTTGACCCACCTATCCCCCAGGGCCAAAAGTGCCCTCAGTTGACCCCCCCCTCCCCCAGGGCCAAAAGTACACTCAGTTGACACGCCCATCTAGGCCGCTTATACTACTCCCCCCTCCCCTCTGCATTCCACATGATTATAATGACAAAGTCATTGTTTTTCTTTTGGAGGCCCGAAATAAGTGTTAGGTTAAAAAGTAAAACAGGAGGTGAACAATGGCATTATGTAATAAAAAATCTGTGAAAGTATCATTAAAAAAAATTTTATTCAGCGGTAAAGGAGGAGATACGGATAAGAGATGGGTATATACCCTTCAATATTATAGAAAAAAATAGAAGTGTCAATGTTTTGCTCTGGAAAATTCAAAATACGTGTCCGATCAAAAAATAAAAATATTAGGTGAACAATGGCAATATGTAATAAAGATTCTGTGAAAGTCTCATCAAACTTCATTCAGTGGTATGAGAGGAGTTGCGGATAAGAGATGGGTACCCCAAAGCGTAACAGACAGATGGACGGACATACCGATTACTATATACCCTCCCACTTTTCAAGCGGGGGGTATAATTAAACATAGGTAATCAGAGATTACAGAGCTCACCTCAACGAATGTTGTGTTTAAGTAAGGCAAAGTCACACAATTAACCAACAAAAAGTGTACACGTACATCCAAGAATGCAAAATTTATGCAATTTTGATCTGATACTTAGATCTATATAAAAACTTCAACTCAGTTCTTCGTCAAAAAACGTAATTAAAATCCAGCATCTGAAACAAGTTTAAGAATTTTCATCCCTTGATTCATCATTTGTGCAAGTTTGACTTATATAAGCCTTATAAACTTTTACTCGGTCGATTATCTGGAAAATGTATGTCGAATTCAGCATCCGAAGCAGTCCATTAGTGTGAATCCTACGATGTATCATCCATGCAAGTTGCTCAACATAGGGCTCATAGTTACTTGGAAGGGAGGGTATGAAAAATAACGAACAGTATTCAATATCAAAGTCCATAAAACAATACAAAATAGGAGCAGAGCAAACACGGACCTCCGAAACATCAGAGGTGGGATCAGGTGCCATGGAGGAGTGAGCATCCCCTGCTGACCGGAAATGAAACCTGCATAAAAACTAGCCTTTTCACTCATCCAGAAAATGTAGGTCAGATTCAGCCAGCTTTTTTGTAAGTTTAGCCCCCCACTTTTGATTAGCCCCCCTTTCAATTTGCTTGCGACGCCCATGGTATTTCATCGCAGCTTTATGTGATATATACCCAAGGCGTTGGTGTCGGCGTCTCATGTTAAGATTTAAGGTGGATCTGACTGACATTTTCCGGATGAGTGAACAGAGGTTAAAGTTTTTTTGGAGCAGATTCATTCTAAAATATTTATAACCCCTATATATGTTGGTCAAACTTACATGGGTGATACGTCTAAGGATGCACACTAATGGACTTGCTTCTGATACTGGATCTGACATGATACATTTTCCGGATGAGTGAACGGGTAAAAGTTTTTAGAGTAGGTCTTATTTCGAATTCTAAGTGACTGTAAGACCCGTCCGAACCTAATTTACGTGGATGATGCATCAAAAGATGTACATTAATTGACTTGCTTCCAAGTAATCATAAGCCCCATAAGTTAACATGATGATACATCTAAGAATAAACAGTAATTGACTTAATTGCTTCTGATGCTGGATGTGACCTACATTTTCCTTATAAGTGAACATATTTAAAGTTTTGGAGCTGATCTTTTACCAAGAAACGACAAGGCATACCTGAACCAAATTTGCGGAATGATAATGTACACCAAGGGAATGAGGGAAGAACACTCTCAACCTTGCTTCAGATGCTGGATTTGATATACAATGTACATGTTCTGGATGAGTGAATAGTTTTAAGTTTTTTAACGAATATATGGAGATAACGAACGGTA